ATGTGGTATTAGATTTTCCAACATTGCTTTCATGTACGTATAGTATGACTCTATCCATTCATGTATTTAGTTTTCTTCGTCCTTAACTGTAGTAGGCCATACGGAAGTCACTGTACTTTTCTCGAGTCAATAAATAGAGAATATGTTTAGGGAAGAAGCCTTCCAAGCCTTGTTATCGAGACCATGTCTAATGGACGCCATGTTTGGTTCCTCTATTGACTGACTTTCCAAGAGGTTGACTCTGTGCAGCGGCGTGACCCGTGTTATCTGAGGTCCAGTCACTGGACATGCACCACTTCAAATCAGATGCTAATGCCAACAGGAATGCGTGTAAGGTCGGACAGGCATTGAAAGAAGGGTGGACAAGACTACATGGCTTTAGTAAATAATCAGTTACTGGCGTTTCCAGTTACCCATTATTATTGGCCTTGTCTGTTGTACATTTTATCTTGTAGCACTTTTGTAAGGATGAGCCTTACACCCACGTCATAACACTTTTAACAACAAGGTGTTTGCCTACAGTGATCATGCTATAAAATCTCTGTACGACTATCTTGTAAGGTGTATCTCTGGGATTGTTTACGCTGAATACTCGGTCGAGTCATCGGTTTGTCTGCCATGACACTGCCCGGGGGCATTGGGTTATCAGTATCAAACTACCGGTTCAGCTGTGTGGAAGCAATCGTACGTTTTTAAACTTCTGATGCGTTGGTAGTTGCATATGACAACATAATTCTATCAAACTACCACAGATAATGCTCGCTCACCTTGAAGACAGACGGTGCTACCTGTGCATGGCTCGGCTGTGGTGTACACTCTCAATCCGTGGGAACAGGAGATAGCAGGTATGTCGCCTCACCAGGTGTGTGTGTGTGTGTGTGTGAGTGGGATGACCCGTACAGGTACAATGTGGGAGATGTCACCAGTCGATCGGCCTACACAATACCCTCATTAGCATATCACTGAGGCGTGGGACACACGGGGGGCTGGTACATCAGTCACCCGGCCGGCTTAAACCGGCTTAGTCACCATGTGACTGGGAGTTGTAATAGCACACCAACATGACAGGATTACCATTTTATAAGGCGTAATGCTCTTTTTTTTGGAAAAGGTACAGAGAAAAACGCTGTAAATGCCATAGAAGATACCGGCGTACTACGTTGGACGTACCAACTACTAAGTACCTAATACCAGCTCAGAGAAGAACAACAAACATCCTACGTAGTCATGCCTGAGTTACAATGTATCAACCAAGGTTTAAGGTGTTCAGTTTTTTTTTCTTTCCTAGAACTATCGCAGAGTGGAACTCGCTGTCAACAAGTACAGTAGCCAAGAAGCATTATCATTAGATAGCTTTAAACAATGTTGAGGGTTAGATGTTCAAAGGTTAGATGTAACAAGTCGTTAGGTGTAATGTAGCCGCGTGCCTGCGAAGCTGGTGTGTTAGCATTTTTCTACACGACCTTACATCGCACAGATCAGTACCAGTCCAACTGAGGTCTCGATCTAGCAAAGGTCAGAAAAGACTCATACGAACTACGTATACCTACTACATGTTTTGGGTTACATTAGGAACTATATAGACAGTGGTTGTACCCATCAGGGAAACATTCGCCAGGGAACTTGTTCCACAGTGATGTAATTCTAGGAAAGAAACTTTCAGCGTGGAACTTCCTCTTGAGAGATGAAGTATGGAGGAAGAAAGGTTAATTTGCTTCCATAGCAGTAGCAAAACGTGTAATGGCAAAGAAATTTCCAAGTGGGGGCACTAGCGAAAGGAGTACCGCGGAACATTTGCCATGGAAATAGCGATAGAGTAACGCCAGACTTGCAACATCATGCATTTGTGAAAGGGGCTGCAAGGTGGCGTAGTCCAATGTACTACGCAAGGCGTGAAGTATGTTTGCAAAATCTCTGTTAAATTCACCAACTTTTCGACCCTCGCTACGCCCCCCTACAATAAAGTACACAATAGGGGGTCCAAGCTTAACTGTCTTTTATAAGATCAGACAGGTACAGGAACAGTGCCATTCCGTACCTGTCAAAACTCCTGAACAGTGTTTTGTCTATTGTGTAATCACTTGAGCACTGTTTCTTGTTATTCAGTTTGGTTAAGTTTGTAAACATTGAAACTGCGTAATTCAGCCCTTTTTCTTTGTATTATGAGGCTGCAATGTAGTTTTTTACGTCAATTTGTGGAATAAACCATTTATATAAGATGAAGATCAAATTCAGATAATGTTACATGTACATGCCGTTGTTCTAAAAAAAAGACGTTGAAAAGTACATGCTAGGTCATTCCTCGGTGATATTTCGCGGAATTAACACAAAATGTTGCGGTTATAATATCAGGAATCTCTTTCTGGACATTTAATTTCTACATGAAGACGTATTCCCTCCACATTGTGAATATTGTGAATGGGATATTTTCTACACAGATTTTTGTTCGTGTTTCCATACTTTTGTGACGACAGTTTTTTCCAATACGGTAACTGTTTTTGTTGTTCCCATGGTATTACAGACAATGACAAAATGCAGGGTGTGTTTTCAACGCATTAATTACCTTACTTAACTTGTCTTACACGCCCAAATGTGGTGCATAATTAACTTCAAATGACAGAAATTATGGCAGGAAAATAAGAACCGGTTGTCGTAGATTTGCGTAAGAAACATAGCGGCGAATTTTCTATTATTAAGAATGCAAATAGAAACACTGATAAAAAAGGGGGTTATTCTATAGATTGACTGAAAAATGATCCGTCAATGTTGATTTGTATTTTCTAATATATATTTTGCAAGTACAGAAAGTATTTGTCGTCGCACACTATACATGTGTATTTCCCAAAGTTCAAACCTGCTGTACTTGTATTAATTGTTATCTCTGGAGATTCTTTTCTTTCCCAGTGCTGTACGTGCAAATTGTTCTTGAAATTGTCCTGGTGCCATTTGCATTTTATAAATTTCGTACTATAAACTCCATCTTACATTAACAACTGTTTTAAGAAGCGAGAAGAAGCAGAACCTGTACATATGTAGTTTTACTATAGATACATTTTAGTCTACCATCGCTGTTTACCATTTAGTTCGCAATGAGCAAAAATGTACAATAAAGGTCTTTCATTATTATTTCTAGTACAGACAAATTGCAGACAGAATCTCTTGTAAAATAAGCAGTGTTAGACAATCTAAGGGCGGTTGAAGGACGTTGATCATGAGCCCTACTAGTTGACAAGAAAAGTTTTCACACTGACCCAACACCTTCTGTCCTAGCTAGATAGAAGATGAACTGCATTTTATTACGGATTGTTCATTCTATAATCATAAACGCACAAAGCTGTTCAATCTTCGTTCCGCTTGTTCAATGGAATTTGTTACACTTCATACATGTACTGTAGATAAATTCAATTTCATTCTAGGAGGTAATAACCCCTGCTCTATACAAATAAGTAAATATTTTTTTTGGTAGCGCCTGTAAACCCCCCCCCCCCACACACACACACTGTTTCACTGCCATCCTGGCTGAATGTAGGGGTTCGCTGCTGTTAGCGGCAAAGTCGGAAGGGGGCGTGATGTGAACGATCTGATGACATCACAACTGTTGTATTGAGAACTATGCTTTATCAATCGATCATACCATGTTCACACACACGCACACACACACACACACAAACACAAACAAACACAAACACGCACACATGTTTTGAAAGGTGAACAAATGCACTTTATTCAGATATCCATTAGAGATGTGTATAAACATACCAATACTCTTTTTGCATTTCAAGATACATAAAATTGCTTTACGATTTTAGCAATGAAACTCTGGAGGCTGAGGAACGTCTGTTGTTTCGAATTTTTATGTAACCAACGAACTATTTTGCACTCCACATTGTACAACAACAAACCATCTCTTTGCAGAGATAGTTATAACCACAATTTATACAAAATCACCTGACATCATATGGGAAAGAGATGAAAATAGAATTAAGTGGCTCTTTAACGAGGGTGTATCTGACCTAAGCAATTTTTATTTATCGAGCGTGGGGGAAAAGAAGAAAACACCTGTATTTATAACACGTCAACAGTTTTCATTTTTTGTTACTTCTGCACGTTTGTTTTCTCTTATTATATTTGATTTATCTTATGTACTTGTATTTATTTTGTGAAATCTTGGTTCATTATGTACAGATTTATTTGCATTTATGATCTGTTATGAGTTCACATTGTTCACCATTATTGTATATAGCCTACCGGTATACCTTTATCTGTGTTCATATTTTGTTTGGATTCTGTTTTCTGTACCTTTGATTCGCTTTTGTTTATGTATTAGGCCACACCAAGTAAGTTTTATGGATGACGTCCGCACGCGCGTTGATTTTGACCTGTTCCTAGAAAAAAAAACAAGAAATTCCGCTTCCTGTAACTATGACCAAAGAGTCACGACAGTGCCGCAAATCGTCAGATTGACGTGAAACCCGTAACGCAAAAACAGGACAGGACAACAACTGTTGTTCCACCTGATTTATTGCTGTTTTGATGATAAATAAAAGACTTCTTGCTTGTTACACTGTGTCACCTCATTCAATTTGTGTCCTAACATTTGTCGTCTCTTAGTATTTTTCTGATCTAGGCCTCTTGTTTTTTAGGGCCCTTCTTGTTTTTTTTTCGCCCTCTCGCATTAGATTTAGGGTCTCCAAGGACGTCATCCATAAAATTTACTTGGTGTGGCCTTACTTATACTCAAACGGTGTCGTATAAGCCCACACGGGCTGGGCGCGGGAAGGCGCACGACACCAAAATAAAGTTTCATTCATTCATTATTACATGTACAATATTATAAAAGAATATTGCAGCAGGTAGTCGCAGTGAACATTTTACAGAGTCTTAAGTTTCTATTGGCAATGTAACATTACAGTCTGGAAATTTAAGTCTATAATTTTTAACTCACAAATTACTTTGCAGCAAATCATTTTTTGAAATTTAAACTTACTGCCTGCTCTTCATTAAGCCAGGTTACAATGTACTTTATTCGGACATTGTCCATTAGTGGTATGCATAAACACACAGCTAGTTTTGAGGATTTAAGATGCATAAACATTGAATTGATGGAAAAATGAACTGTAGGAAAATGGACAAACATATGTTGAAATGGGGTCCACTGCATGGTGAATTGGTAGACTAATGTATTGGTTGCAAAATGTCTCTAGATATTTATTTTCCTTGTATGTCAACATGTCCTCTGTTTTGTTTCTTTGCTTTTGAAATAACAATAAAGATTATTTGAAAAAAAACATTGAATTGATTGTCAAACTACTACCATAACATCATCGACAATAAGAACTGTTAACAGAAGTAGTTACAACTACAAATGTTACAAGATTGAAAAAGTTAGTTCTTTGCTCTGCTACTATATTGTAAAACTTAAATCATCCATAAAGTGTGATACACTCTTTCCTTGTTGTTGTTTGGTTTATGAATTATAAGAACAATACAATTTACACAGTGCAGGACTGATAAATCTATGGTCTGAATTTGTGTACAGATGTTACCAAAAAGCTACAAATTTATACAAAACTTTTAGTTGCAATTATCTTTCTATTATACTCTGGTACCGTAAGGCCTGGTGCCGAGAAGAATAGGGGTAATACACATAATACAGTGCTGCCAGGGAAATCGTAAATATCTCGACTTTGAAGCAACAAAATAACATGAAATTTGGTAGACAGTTAGACAAGACATCTTGCATTTCAAAAATGCTGAACAAGTCTAGAAAATCTACATAATATTTTCATAATTAATTAGGAAATGTGGTATTCGATTTTACAAAGATGGGCTGAGACCCCACCTTTCCCGACGGCCAGGAATACTCAAATTTTTAGAGGATATGGGGGCAGTTGTGGAG